AGATGCGGGAAACAAGAAAAGCGACACCGAGTGGAAGGATAACATCTATCAAAGCATGAACGAAAAATAGCCTCTGAGAGCGAGAGCGAGAAGAAAGGGAGACAGGAGAGGGGGTAAAAGCAGGACGATAAACTGAGCGTTTAGAGATCCTTTGCAACCAACCCTTACTGTGGGTACGGCACGTTATTCGCATGTGTGTGTATGTGTGTCAGTGTGGGTAGGTATGTGTGTGTGAGCTTCTAAGTTTGTGTGGGCCTATGTGTGCGTGTATGTGTACAGTTACAAACAAACACAGTTATCATGTTCCCTCTACAGAATTATAGTGTTTGACCCAGCAACTGGAGAAATAGATGAATTCATCAGAGATGGCATAGCATATGCCAACGGCCTGGAACTAAGTTTTGATGGTCGATTTTTGCTAGTGTCTGAGTCTGCAAGAAGCAGGGTTCTCAGGTTAGTGGGCATGCTTTATGTATCAAGAAACTCACAATTTCTAGACCAGTGGTTTCCAACATTTTAAGGTTGTAGCCCTCTTGAATGTCTAACGCTCCTGTTTAGTATATGACAAGACCCACCCCATGCCTCCATTGAGTATATGAACAGACCCACCCCGCGCCTCTGTTGAGTATATGACAAGACCCACCGCGCCTCCGGTGAGTATATGACAAGACCCACCACATGCCTCCGTTAAGTATATGAACAGACCCACCCCGCGCCTTCGTTGAGTATATGATAAGACCCACCCCGCGCCTCCGTTGAGTATTTGACAAGACCCACTCAACGCCTCCGTTATGTATATGGCAAGATCAGAACACCCCCGTGTCACCCCACCCCCCCCCCCTTTTTTTTTAGGTATATAGCAAGAACCCCACGGCTCTTCCCCAAATACCTCAACGTAACAAAATAGAATAACATGAGGACACTACAAGGAAAAACGGAAAACATAATCTATGCAGATACGTTTTGGTCAGAATTTGTTCTTAATCTATAATTAAATGAACGTGTTATCATATTAATTACATTGTTACCGGTAATTGTGCAAACTGCTCATGACAATTTACCTTTGTGTCTTTTACATATAGTTTTATTTATAATTAAATTGAACCCCACACTGTAATCGCAGGTCGACCCAGCCTAAAATGGGTACCAGGATGGCAGTCCTGGGAATGTACAGACGGCAGGTGTAATGCTGACCACATTACCCATCCAGTGCCGATTGGTTTGTAAAAATATGGGACCTCTTTCCACACACCCGATTCGCCTAAGGCGTGAAAAGGAATCTTTACTTTACTTTTACTTACCACACTGTAAAAAAAAAAAAAAAGCTGCAGAAACAGAGACAAACATAAATATGAATACTTATGGAGATCCGGATGTCATAGTTGTAGGTGACAGGATAACTGTCAGTGATGAAAGACTGGGTGAAAGCCTGCGGGAAAACCCAGCCCCGACGTCTTGCCTCTTAAAGAGAACCAGAGGCACTTGAAGGGGAAGCTGCGAGGCTGAACTCAAGACTTTGCGAAAGACACAACTGGAGATAGAGAGGATGACTCAGGATCGAAATGAGTGGCGACAGTTTGTCTCTGGCGCGATGACTATTGATTGATTCAAGTAAACTTCACCACCCCCCCCCCCCCCAGATAGAGATGACTTTTCTAAAAGGTACATAGATGTTGCTTGTCTGGTTGTTTTCATTGACTGGTAGTTCAACGGAAATAGACGATACTCAACAACACATCTCTTTTTTTGCGTTCACTAGTTTTAAACTCCAGCGGACATTTCTAATTATTCATCCACCTTTGGACTTGTTTCCAGACCCTGAGTGTTGCGTACACAAACGTTTACAGATCGGACGTATTTGTATGCAGACTGTTGGTTCCTTGCCTCTCAGGTAGATGTATTCCGACTTTGAAAGGAATCCCCAATTAGACGACTCTTACTACATGCTTGTTGGGGAGGCAGTGGGTCTTTTCTTGCTTTCCCTACAATGGAGCCTCGGAACCCCCACTGGGGGCTTAATAATACTGTTTTTTTTTAGCTTATTGACATGCAGTTTCATTTTCTATTTGTTTCCAAAATGTTAATTTGTTTTAGCTTGTTTATATACAATTTCTTTACTTTTTTTATCATACAGGTTAACCTTTATCGTTGTTTACGTTATTATTCTATACATATAACCTTCTTTTCTTCTTTGTATCCCCCACCCACTCCTTTTCCTTCTGGTATTCCCTCCCTACTTCCTTTACCCTTACAACTACTACTGTTGCTGCTGCTGCTCCTACGACTACTACTACTACTACTACAACTACTACTAATACTACTACTAATAATAATAATAATAATAATAATAATAATAATAATAATACAATTACTATCACCACCACTACCATTACTACTACTACAACTACTACGAATAAAAATGCTGCTACTACTACATCAACATCAAAAACAACAAATACCACTAAGACTACTGTTGCTGCCTTTACAACAGCAACTGCAAAAACAAAACAAAAATAATAATAATAACCTGAACACTCATATGTTCCTGAAATTCGTAAGTACCCTGGCGACGAGAATTGCAAAGATAATGATACTGAAGATTATAGTGGCGATAATAATAATGAGGTGATGTCAATATGGTTACAGATGATAGCCGTAATTATCTCATGGATACTGGTTATTATTTACAAGTAAAAATAATTTTAATTATCGTAAAAATTTTCAGTGTCAGTATTGACCCTGCAACTAGACCACGAATCACGATCTTCTCCGATAATCTACCTGGATGTCCCACCAACATCCGTGGAACCTCCCACGGGACATACTGGGTAGGAATAGCTTTGGTGCGACACAGTGGCATCCCCAACTCAATGGATCAGTTCTCAAACAACCCTCAGGCTAGAGCGCGGACATACTATGTAAGTTTTATCTTAACTTAGTTAAAACGCTCATCAGACTCATTTTAACGCTTGTTGTGTGTTTTTAGTCTTTTTTAGGGCTGAAACTGACTCATTTAAGACGCGCCAGACTTAGCCTAACGCTCCCTGTATGCTCGTATTTGTACTATAAAGGCTTCTATTTGATTCAGCTAAACGCTCAACAATCTTTCTGTTGTTTTTTTCTGTACTGGGTAACATATAACATCTTCTTTTTCTTCTTAGCGTTTACTGGCTATAAATAGGACACAAATATTATAACTTCTTCTTCTTCTTCTTATCGTCCCCAGGCTTTAAAAAAGACTAAGTACATTTTCTTTTCCTTCTTAGCATTCACAAATATGACATCTTCTTCTTCTTAGCGTTTACTGGTTATAAATAAGACTAAAATGCGGCATCTTCTGCTACGTCTTAGCGTTCACCGGCCATAAGTAAGACTACAAAATAACATCTTCTTATTATTCTGTTGACTGACAATAAATAAGACAAAAAAATTACATCTTCTACTTGTTCTTAATCTGGCTAAAAATAAGACTAAAATATGACTTCTTCTTCGTAGCGTTTACTGGTTAAAGATACGATTAAATAACAACTTCTTCTTCTTCTTTTTCTTCTTCTTTCTTCTTCTTCTTCTTCTTCTTCTTCTTCTTCTTCTTCTTCTTCTTCTTCTTCTTCTTCTTCTTCTTCTTCTTCTTCTTCTTCTTCTTCTTCTTCTTCTTCTTCTTCTTCTTCTTCTTCTTCTTCTTATCGTTCACTGACTATTAATAAAACTAAAATACGAAATTTTCTTCTTTATCTATTTTTTTCTTCTTCTTTCTTCTTCTTCTTCTTCTTCTTCTTCTTCTTCTTCTTCTTCTTCTTCTTCTTCTTCTTCTTCTTCTTCTTCTTCTCTTCTTCTTTTCTTCTTCTTCTTCTTCTTCTTCTTCTTCTTCTTCTTCTTCTTCTTCTTCTTTTCTTCTTCTTCTTCTTCTTCTTCTTCTTATTCTTCTTCTTCTTCTTCTTCTCCTTCTCCTTCCTCCTTCTTCTTCTTCTTCTTCTATTCTTCTTCTTCTTCTTCTTCTTTCTTCTTCTTCTTCTTCTTCTTCTTCTTCTTCTTCTTCTTCTTCTTCTTCTTCTTCTTCTTCTTCTTCTTCTTCTTCTTCTTCTTCTTCGTCTTTGTCTTCTTCTTCTTATCGTTCACTGATATTAGCGTTAACCGCCTAAAAACGTCAGGGGAACTGTTTGGTTGTTAGCCTACTTCTGGAGCGTGTTATTCACATGAATGGCTGTGGAAACGTTTGTGACCACCAGAAAGATTGAATCGTGTTTGCTATAGATGAAAACATAAGATAAAATGTGGGATAGTTTATGTTAGATTTCCACAGTAACTGGCCCAATGGCTATTTAGCTCCCTCCGGGCTGCATTTTACAGATGTGACACGTCTCTGACTCACAGGCACATTCTTTTTGCCAGTCCAAAAGGACAAGCCACTGATAGACTGCTGAACTTTCTAGGTATTTGTAATTAAAGCGCCCACACGGGGATGAAGTAAATTTGAAGGTGAAGCCTAGAGGTCGATTTCATTGCACCGAGTTATTACCCCAAATAGCACTTCCCCAGCTAGGCGCCAGCCGAGAGCGTTTCACAAAGCGCCAAACCGTAGCTTCAGCAACGATTCCATGTGATCTCAAAAAAGATTACATTTCATGAACCGAATGTCGCGGCTGTTAAACAAACTCACGACATTCAAAGCAGGAGGCAAACGGTTTGACCACTTCGCCGCGATACCCTTGAGAAGTGGGAACTCGCTTTCAAATCCAACTGCGACTGGCCGCAGCCCACGATCGGTGTTCGAAACCGGACGGTTTCCCCGGTTCACTCAGCCTCTCGGAAATGGGTACCAGAGTTAACACTCTGGGGTAAATGGAGGAACGTCGCTGTAGCTGCAGAGTTACGTGCGGACGGCAACACAGGCTGACGATTTATCAGCTGTCTGACGTTAATAATGATGATTTTGATGACGATAATTATTTTGTATACAGCAAGGCAATATATAGACATGGACGCTGGCGTAGAAACCATCATGCTTGCCTTCGAACCCAGTCATCACGCATTCAAATCCTAAAAGAGATGATTTCGATAAGTTGACATGAACTCTCAGATAACTCAGTCTAAAATAAATATCTGAACATTTATTGTAAGAAAGGGCGACTGGAATGATATCCACCTAGAGCCGTCTGAATGAGATATTTGGCCCCTGGGCAAACGAGTGTGCTGGGGCCCATACAGCAACGACTCATAGAAATAAATCTTTATTTTTAGCAATCCACTTGACACACACCGGCGCAGCCGGACTTTTTTTTTTTCAAAAATGACCCTGGCTCCCAGATCGACCCGGTCTTGAGTGGGTACCGGGTACAGTCCCTGGAAGTAAAGGGGGGCGGCGTGGTGCTGACCACGTCACCCATCTTGTGCCGATTGGTCTATAAAATATAGGTCTAGCCCTATATGCCTTATACGTCTAAAAGCGTGGAAAAGGGTCCTTTGCTTACACTTGACACACACACACAGTAAAGGACCCGGACAAGTTCCCAGCTTGCCCATGTGCTAAAGTGACCCTGTATTGACCGCATCCCTAATCAAGTACCCATTGTAAACTAAGTAAAGTTGCCCTCTTAACACCTTAGGCAGCCGTCGCCGTCACATGGTTAGACGCACGGCTATCTCTATTTATATTTACAGCCGGACGTGGCTAGACGCTCTGCGGATCCGAAAGTCGTGGGTTCAAATCCGGACAGTCCGATAGCTGTTTCTTCAAAAAGACTTTGGCTCCCAAGTCGTCCCAGCCTCAAATGGGTTAGTTAGTTAGTGTTTCCTCTTGAGACTGGCGCGGCGTCCGTGGTTTAGGCGTTGCGAGTCCGAATCGTAATCCAACGTACCGCGATCGAAGCCCACTGCTGGCTGCGTGGATTTTTATCATGGTGCGTGGCGTCTCAGGTCGACCCAGCCTAAAATGGGTACCAGGATGGGCTGTCCTGGGAAAGTAAAGACAGCCGGCGTAATTGTGACCACATTACCCACCGAGTGCTGACGGTCTGTAAAAACATGGGCGCTCTTCCCATATGCCCGATAAGCCTAAAGACATGGAAAGGGATCTTTACTTTACTTTTTTTACTTGAGCCTGGCACGGTGCATAGGGCAGAGGTCATAACGCTCCATGTTTGGCGACCCGTTGCCACCTGTTTTAGGTCTTGGATGTTCATTAGGTCCATGGTACACGGGGTCTCTCTTGGTCTTCTCCGCTTTCTTTTCCCTTGCGATGCCCATATAAGGGCTTGATGGGGGTGCCTGGTCTTATCCATTCCGAATGCATGGCTAATATAATGGGTGCCACGTAAAAATCCTGAGAAGTAAAGGCGTCCGTCATAATACTGACCACATCACCCACCAAGTGCCGTTTAGTCTATAAAATATAGGTCTAGCTCTATATGCCCAATACTCCAGACGGCGTGGACAATGTTCCTTTTTACCTTTAATGTATTTGGCGTGACTGGAATCTAAACCTAGACGTATATTTGTTTTGAATAGACTAATGGCACTCGATGAAGTCAACAACACGCCAGCAACCTTTAACCCTAGAACATTCAATGGTACTCAGTATAGGCTGGGTCGAACTAGTAGGCGATGTCAGTTTGTAGAAGAAAAAGCTGTCACGATGCGGATGCGAACGTTATATCTTTAAGCATGCAGGCAAGCACCTAGCCACTATGCTACTGCAACTAAAATATACCCCCCCCCCCCCCCCCCCTACTTTTTTCAAACATACAAAGGATACAGTTACAAACAGGAATACACAAAATCATTTGTCTCTTAGTTGAGGTCACTTCTTGAAATATTCACACACGTCTTGTCTGTAGAAACATCAGAGTTTGTAATCGTGTTTTGCTTTCTAATACGAAGTATTCATCATGCAGATTTATGAACAAGTTTGAAAATCATCAAGAGTAGAATACTTGGGGACAGTCTGAAAAAAGCCCTGTATACGATTATGAATGATTAATTAGGCTGGTGATCAGTTTCTTACCATACAGAATGTTACATTTGACGTTTCTGTTCTTTCCTCTTGTAGACCGACAGTCTGGAAAAAATTAGAACATACTACCCCTTTTACGGTTTAGCCGTGGAAGTCAACGACAGGGGTGAAATCATCGGGAGTTTGCACGATCCTACAGGTATGTAGTGCACAAGTATGACTGTATGTCCGTCTTGCCCGGGCTCCCCTCCCTCCCCCGAGTGTTGACCGTTGATCCGATCCCCTGGTCAATCGTCGATGCACTATTCCCTGTGTACCGTGATGGTCTATGACTGACTCCTCACTGTCTACTCGATCGCAAAGGGCCCTTACAACATTCAGCTGGTCATGCATAAAGTTACTACCAGGGGGTGCAGAACCAGCCAGTCTATCTTTGTTTTATTTTCTAACACAGTGCCATTTCCTGGAGGAAATATCCTAATGACGCTAATTACGCGGGACTTCTAAGTCGAGGCTTGCCACTCTGCACGGAGCATGTGCTCGACTTTTCTCAACATGATCTATGAGTTAGTCACGATATGTTTGTGCAGCTGGATCTAAAGCCAGCGTATGCCTGCAGTGACCGCATCCTCCTCCATTTTCAAACTATATACTGTTGTATCATATACCAAGCGTTGTTGAACTAAGCAAGGTCTATACGCTGCTGCTATGAACCCCCGTGTACTTCTTCTGCCTCCCAACACAGAGCCATCTGTATAAATAATCACATCACCTGGACACTCTTGTAACAACCTTTGGGTAACAGTGGACCTTGAGAGCTAAAAAAAAATATACATATCAAACACACACACACACAAAGAGAGAGAGAGAGAGAGAGAGAGAGAGAGAGAGAGAGAGAGAGAGAGAGAGAGAGAGAGAGAGAGAGAGAGAGAGAGAGAGAGAGAGAGAGAGAGAGAGAGAGAGAGAGAGAGAGAGAGAGAGCAAGAAAGAAGAAAAAAATGAGGTGGATGAGAACTAAAGTAACAACTGAGACAAATGGATTAACGTAACAATAAGAAGAGCTATTAGAAGTTAAGAATCATAATGTATAAAGTAGAGCCTCTGAACTGTGGGTCGCGACACAGTAATTTGCCGGCTGCAGTGTCAAGATATGTCGCTCGAAAAACAGGTTAAACAGAATAATCAGCGCACTAAGCAGCGCTAACGCGTTTCATAGCAGTTTTAAACCATATTTAAAATTATGACTTCTGCTACTGGGTTCAGTTGTTACATAGTGTGTGAATATAGTGATTTGGTTTCTCTTAATGGCACCCCACCCCAAGACACGGAGTCGTACACCTATGTGGGCAGTAATGTAGATACAAGATGGAGGAACAGATAGAGATATTAAAATAAGAATACACAAGGCAAAAGGTGCTTTCATAGCCCTAGGGAATTTGTGGAGGTAAAAAGAAATTGAAAAAAAAGAAAAAAAAAACAAACTTAAAATTTTTAATTCTAATGTCAAATCAGTACTTTTGTATAGGGCGGAAACATGGAGAACAACTAAGGCAATTGTAATAAATTACAGACATTCATTAACTGGTGCCTGCGCAGAATATAGGGAATTATATGGTATGATAGAATAACTAATGTAGAGCTTTGGGAGAGAACTAAGCAAGCTCCAGTGGACCCAGAGGTGAGAAAAAGACGCTGGCGTTGAATACGACACACACTGAGAAAACCCGAGAACAGCATAACTAGAATGTCTTTGCATTAGAACCCCCCAAGGGCATAGGAATAAAGGAAGGCTAAAAAACACATGGAGAAGAGAGCTGGAGAATGAAGTTAGAAAGATGCGGAGGACACGAGGAGAGCTCCATGTAATAGCAAAGGATAGAAAGACTTGGCGTGAGCTGCTTAAGAGCCTATGCTCCATTGGGGGGATAGAAAGACAGAAGAAGAATGTCAAAATCTCTTGTATATTCGACTACGGTTTTTTCCTCCGAAACTAATGTAAGTGCTCGCATCTTTCACAAGGTTTCGTTTTTTTTTTAAACTTCTAATTCAATGAATTACCGTGTCCCAAAATTGTGTGTATCCCAACATTCTTTGGGTTTCTTGCCTCTCTGGCAGATGCACCCAGGAAGCTCCCAGTTAGTCAACTCTTACGCCATGCTTATTGACTCTTGTTTTCCTTATAACGAGCTGTGTTGTCTAGATATCATTAAATTCAGTGCGAGTCCCTTGACAGTGTGAGAGTTACGGTAAGAATAACATGAACTGATTGATATCCACACAGGTAGAATATTTGCATCCGTCAGTGAGGCAACAGAAATTGAAGGTTTGCTGTACATAGCATCCGGGAGTACTCCGTTTGTCGCCAGGCTTGTCCTACCAGTTATCGGCGGTAGAACTATCACTAATGACAGCATTCAACTGGTAAGTGACTAGCTGTATGTATGTGTGCTTGCGTGTGTGTGTGTGTGTGAGTGTGTGATGTTTAGATTCCAAAAGAGTATTCACTAACGAAAGCAAGTGGTAATTGACTAGCTGTTTGTGTGTGCGTGTGTGTGTGTGTGTGTGTGCGCGCGCGCGCACATGTGTGTGAGTGTGTGATGTTTAGATTCCCAAACACATAGTATTCACTAACGACAGCAACTGGTAAGTGATTAGCTGTGTGTGTGCGTGCGTGTGTGTGTGTGTGTGTGTGTGTGTGAGTGTGTGATGTTTTGATTCCCAAACACATAGTATTCACTAACGACAGCAACTGGTAAGTGACTAGCTGTGTGTGTGCGCGCGTATATGTGTGACTGTGTGTGTGCGCGCGCGCGCGTGTGTGTGATTGTGTGATATTTAGATTCCCAAACACAAAGTATTCACTAACGACAGCAACTGGTAAGTGACTCGCTTTTAAGTATGTGTGTTATACTTAGGTTCCAAAAGACAGATTCTAATTAGGAAACTTGCTGGATTGTCAACAACAACAACAAAGACAAAAACAAACGTGCAATAGATTCCAACTCATCGTGGCATCAAGGGCAATAAAAGCACTGACTTTGTAGCCAAGAAAGGGAGCAATCAACAACAAATCTATCGCTGTATTGCTATTTGTTTGTTAGAAGTCAGAAAAAAAAATGGGAGAGAGGGGCATTCAAGGTGTTTGAGTTCTCAGGTTCCAGCCCACCCCAACCCCCCCCCCCCCCCTTACTCTCTATCCCCGCCTACTGTCTCTTTTTGAAAGAAAAGATATCGCCCCTCCCCTCTTTCCTGTAAATCTACCTTATGTAATCGTAGAATCTGTAAAACGAGTTTACACACAAAACTCAAGTTATTAGAAAGTGCCCTAAGTCCAGAAATGGACGAACAACCAGAAATTTTTCCAGGAATTTACAGCCGGTGTACACTATGAGAAGTGTCAAATTACGCTACATATAGAAGAATATTATACAACATTGTAAAATGTTTCTAATCGCATTTCCGCAGGTCTATAGAAGTAGGTGCTTGATAACTGAGCAGAAGTACCAGGAATATTTGAATTCAAAAACGACAACTGGTCTGTCCACGGGCGCCCAGGATCAGCTTGGTCCAACCGATGTAGTCTCAGATGATACTGTTACCGATTCAAGTGGAGCTGGTAAGACAACTAATACGACCACTGGTGGAGTTGATGGCACAGCCACAGCTGGAGCTACAGGCACAGCTACAGGCACAGCCACAGGTGCAGCTACAGGCAAAGCCACAGGTGCAGCTACAGGCACAGCCACAGGTGGGGCTACAGGCACAGCTGCAGGTGGAGCTACAGGCATAGCCACAGGTGCAGCTACAGGCACAGCCACAGGTGGGGCTACAGGCACAGCTGCAGGTGGAGCTACAGGCACAGCCACAGGTGGAGCTACAGGAACAGCCACAGGTGGGGCTACAGGCACAGCTGCAGGTGGAGCTACAGGCACAGCCACAGGTGGAGCTACAGGAACAGCCACAGGTGGAGCTACAGGCACAGCTGCAGGTGGAGCTACAGGCACAGCCACAGGTGGAGCTACAGGAACAGCCACAGGTGGAGCTACAGGCACAGCTGCAGGTGGAGCTACAGGCACAGCCACAGGTGGGGCTACAGGCACAGCTGCAGGTGGAGCTACAGGCACAGCCACAGGTGGGGCTACAGGCACAGCTGCAGGTGGAGCTACAGGCACAGCCACAGGTGGAGCTACAGGAACAGCCACAGGTGGAGCTACAGGCACAGCTGCAGGTGGAGCTACAGGCACAGCCACAGGTGGGGCTACAGGCACAGCTGCAGGTGGAGCTACAGGCACAGCCACAGGTGGGGCTACAGGCGCAGCCACAGGTGGAGCTACAGGCACAGCCACAGGTGGAGCTACAGGCACAGCCACAGGTGGGGCTACAGGCACAGCCGCAGGTGGAGCTACAGGCACAGCCACAGGTGCAGCTACAGGCACAGCCACAGGTGGAGCTACAGGCACAGCCACAGGTGGGGCTACAGGCACAGCCACAGGTGGAGCTACAGGCACAGCTGCAGGTGGGGCTACAGGCACCGCCACAGGTGGAGCTACAGGCACAGCCACAGGTGGGGCTACAGGAACAGCCACAGGTGGAGCTACAGGCACAGCCACAGGTGGGGCTACAGGCACCGCTGCAGGTGGAGCTGATGACATAAGTGGGGTCAACGGTACAGCAACAGATGACGCCACTGCTGCAGCCACAGGCGAAGCTGATGGTGCAGTAACAGGTGGGAGTGATGTTGTAGTCACACGTGAGGTCCATGGTACGGATACAGGTGAAGCTAGTGTTGCAGCAGTAGCTGTAGCTGGTGGTGCAGCCACAAGTGAAGCTAGTGGTGCAGCTAATGGCACAGCCGCAAAGGAAGCTAGTGGCACAGCGGCAAGTGAATCTAGTAGTGGCGCTGCAAGTGAAGCTAGTGGCACAGCCGCAAGTGAAGCTAGTGGTGAAGCAAGTAGCACAGCCGCAAGTGAAGCTAGTGGTGAAGCTAGTGGCACAGCCGCAAGTAAAGCTAGTGGCACAGCCGCAAGTGAAGCTAGTGGCACAGCCGTAGCTGTAGCTGGTGATGCAGCCACAAGTGAAGCTAGTGGTGCAGCGGCAGGTGAAGCTAGTGGTGCAGCGGCAAGTGAAGCTAGTGGTGCAGCTAATGGCACAGCCGCAAGTGAAGCTAGTGGTGCAGCGGCTGGTGAAGCTAGCAGTGCAGCGGCTGGTGAAGCTAGTGTAGCAGCTGCAAGTGAAGCTAGTGGTGCAGCTAATGGCACAGCCGCAAGTGAAGCTAGTGGTACAGCGGCAAGTAAAGCTAGTGGTGCAGCCGCAAGTGAAGCTAGTGGCACAGCGGCAAGTGAAGCTAGTGGCACAGCGGCAAGTGAAGCTAGTAGTGCAGCCGCAAGTGAAGCTAGTGGCACAGCCGCAAGTGAAGCTAGTGGTGCAGCTAATGACTCAGCTACAGGTGAAGCTAGTGGCACAGCCGTAGCTGTAGCTGGTGGTGCAGCCACAAGTGAAGCTAGTGGTGCAGCTAATGTCACAGCCGCAAGTGAAGCTAGGGATGCAGCTAATGGCACAGCCGCAAGTGAAGCTAGTACAACAGCGGCAGGTGAAGCTAGTAGTGCAGCCGCAAGTGAAGCTAGTGGCACAGCCGCAAGTAAAGCTAGTGGTACAGCCGCAAGTAAAGCTAGTGACACAGCCGCAAGTGAAGCTAGTGGCACAGCCGCAAGTGAAGCTAGTGGCACAGCCGCAAGTGAAGCTAGTGGCACAGCTACACGTGCAGCTAGTGATGCCGTTGCAGGTGGAGCTGGTGGGGCAGTCGCTGGTGGAGCTAGTGGCGCAGTGGCAGTAGGAGCTAGTGGCACTGGGGCAGTAGGAGCTAGTGGCGCAGGGGCAGTAGGAGCTAGTGGCGCAGGGGCAGTAGGAGCTAGTGGCGCAGGGGCAGTAGGAGCTAGTGGCGCTGGGGCAGTAGGAGCTACTGGCGCTGGGGCAGTCGAAGCTAGTGGCGCAGGGGCAGTCAAGGCTGGTGGCGCTGTTGCGGGTGGAGCTAGTGGTGCAGTCGCTGGTGGAGCCAGTGGTGCAGTCGCAGGTGGAGCTAGTGGCGCTGGGGCAGTAGGAGCTAGTGGCGCTGGGGCAGTAGAATCTAGTCTCGCTGGGGCAGTCGAGGCTAGTGGTGCAGTCGCGGGTGGAGCTAGTGGCGCAGTTGCAGGTGGAGCTAGTGGCGCTGGGGCAGTAGGAGCTAGTGGCGCAGTCGCGGGTGGAGCTAGTGGCGCAGTTGCAGGTGGAGCTAGTAGCGCTGGGTCAGTCGAAGCTAGTGGCGCAGTCGCGGGTGGAGCTAGTGGCGCAGTTGAAGGTGGAGCTAGTGGCGCAGTCGCGGGTGAAGGTAGTGGCGCAGTTGCAGGTGAAGCTAGGGGCGCAGTCGCAGGTGAAGCTAGTGGCGCAGTTGCAGGTGAAGCTAGTGGCGCAGTTGCAGGTGGAGCTAGTGGCGCTGGAGCAGTAGGAGCTAGTGGCGCTGGGGCAGTTGAAGCTAGTGGAGCAGTCGCAGGTGGAGCAAGTGGCGCAGTTGCGGGTGGAGCTAGTGGCGCAGTCGCGGGTGAAGCTAGTGGCGCAGGGGCAGTCGAAGCTAGTGGCACAGTCGCAGGTGAAGCTAGTGGCGCAGTTGCGGGTGGAGCTAGTGGCGCAGTTGCGGGTGGAGCTAGTGGCGCTGGGGCAGTAGGAGCTAGTGGCGCTGGGGCAGTCGAAGCCAGTGGCGCAGTTGCGGGTCAAGCCAGTGGCGCAGTCGCAGGTGGAGCTAGTGGCGCAGTCGCAGGTGGAGCTAGTGGCGCAGTCGCAGGTGGAGCTAGTGGCGCAGTCGCAGGTGGAGCTAGTGGCGCAGTCGCAGGTGGAGCTAGTGGCGCAGGGACAGTAGGAGCTAGTGGAGTTGGGGCAGCTGAAGCTAGTGGCGCAGTTGTGGGTGGAGCTAGTGGCGCAGTGGCAGGTGGAGCTAGTGGCGCAGTTGTGGGTGGAGCTAGTGGCGCAGTGGCAGGTGGAGCTAGTGGCGCTGGGACAGTAGGAGCTAGTGGCGCAGTGGCAGGTGGAGCTAGTGGCGCAGTGGCAGGGGGAGCTAGTGGCGCAGTAGATGATGGATTTCGTGGCTCAGGGGCTGGTGAAGGTAGTAGCGCAGGGCCCGGTGGAGTTAGCGGTGGAGGGGCAGGTGGAGTTAGTGGCGCAGGGGCTGGTGGAGTTAGTGGTGCAGGGGCAGGTGGAGTTAGTGGCGCAGGGGCTGGTGAAGGTAGTGGCGCAGGGGCAGGTGGAGTTAGTGGCGCAGGGGCTGGTGAAGGTAGTGGTGCAGGGGCAGGGGCGTGAACTGCGATTGCATCCAAATGAAATAGCCAAACCACGATGACATTTTTGCAATAATTACTATAGCCACAATCATTATTGAAGATGCGCAATAAATTCTTGTCACATTTTTGAACAGACCTACAGCAACGATTAAATAACAAGAATATACTATGCATTGTTTGGTGTAGCAGTGACAATCAAATGCCCAAAAGAACGTTAACAGTTAGTCGACACAACTGCAGGATTTTACAGATGAGTTAGAATAGACACAAGCGTAATAGTAATAAGGAAGTCAGACAGCTGATAAAACATGAAAAGCTCATCAGAAAGAGTTCGGGACAAAGTCTAGAAAAATAAAGCTAATTTTCCATCTTGATTATTCAGAGAAATCAGGACTAATCTTGGCATCTTAGAGAAGGTAATTTGCTTTCCTTGCTGGCTGTAACCGTGATGGTAGAGTGACTGGCTCGTTTGTTTTTCTTGCTGGCTGTAACCGTGATGGTAGAGTGACTGGCTCGTTTGTTTTCCTTGCTGGCTGTAACCGTGATGGTAGAGTGACTGGCTCGTTTGTTTTCCTTGCTGGCTGTAACCGTGATGGTAGAGTGACTGGCTCGTTTGCTTTCCTTGCTGGCTGTAACCGTGATGGTAGAGTGACTGGCTCGTTTGTTTTCCTTGCTGGCTGTAACCGTGATGGTAGAGTGACTGGCTCGTTTGTTTTCCTTGCTGGCTGTAACCGTGATGGTAGAGTGACTGGCTAGTTTGTTTTTCTACCATTCCATGATTTTCTTTGGAAAAATTGAAGAATATTAGGGAAGGAGGATAGAAGAAGAAATGAGTCAGTCCTCGTCGTGGTAGATGAAAATCGTTTACTGATGAGGAAAGTATACATAGGCAGTAAGTTCTGTTGGGGTGGTCGGGGGAGGGGGTTGTGGGGGGACATTATACAAGAGGAAATGGCCTCGGGAACCTGAACATGACGGTCAAGAATGATGGGGGGGGGGGGGGGGGAGAAATAGCAAGGAAAAAGCTTCTGGTTATCGTGTGAGCATACTTTGAGGAAGATGATTACGTTCTTGATGATGAATATTTAGCGTGATCAAAAGTACGTTCGTAATGCTCTTGAGCATGCATGAGAGGGAATTCACAGATATAAAAATGCGGAAGAGTAGATATTGAAGCAAAAGACACATTTATTAGCCATTTTATAGGAAACCAAACCATAAACCAGGCACATTCTGAGCAATGAAGCCTGGCAGTATTGGAACTCAAACACTGCATCTCTTAACCTGGTTGAACACTCTCTGAAAGAAAGAAAGAAAGAAAGAAAGAAAGAAAGAAAGAAAGAAAGAAAGAAAGAAAGAAAGAAAGAAAGAAAGAAAGAAAGAAAGAAAGAAAGAAAGAAAGAAAGAAAGAAAGAAAGAAAGAAAGAAAGAAAGAAAGAAAGAAAGAAAGAAAGAAAGAAAAGAAAGAAAGAAAGAAAGAAAGAAAGAAAGAAAGAAAGAAAGAAAGAAAGAAAGAAAAGAAAGAAAGAAAGAAAGAAAGAAAGAAAGAAAGAAAGAAAGAAAGAAAGAAAGAAAGAAAGAAAGAAAGAAAGAAAGAAAGAAAGAAAGAAAGAAAGAAAGAGAGAAAGAGAGAGAGAGAGAGAGAGAGAGAGAGAGAGAGAGAGAGAGAGAGAGAGAGAAGAGGAAAGACAGCTTGATGAGATAAATGAGCAGCAAATTTAACGGTGTACCTTCACCTACAACAATAGGCTACATTTGTTGAGGAACCATTGCAACAAGCTATAGTGGTACGAATTTGCCTCTGAGCGCACAAAAAAGGCGACAGTCATATTTTTGTTACCATATTCTGAAGACTGGAATATGTTGTGACCAGTGAATAGATTTGTGGAAAGAGAGGTAGAGGCCTAGAACGTGATAAGGTTCTGTTGTCAGGTCATGAACTGCTACATACTGATGGAGATCGGAGACTGAGGAGGGGAGAGGCACATGATGATGACCCATGCTTGGAGCAGAGTGACAAGCGTCAGTGGGAAGGTCAGGGTAGTAAGCATACTTGAGCTCTTTTCTCCAGACTATGGCGGTGTGGTGGGGAATGAACAGGCAGACAGATTGGCTTGATCTGCACTACTAGGTGGTGAACTGATACATGAAAAGGCAGATGTGGTCAAGGTCCTTTGGGAACAAGTAACGAAGTCAGAAGAGAAACAAGATTATTATGGCAAGGAGAGAATGATGCATCTAGATATAACCAGAGGGTCTGGCCGGTTCACTACGCTCAGAGGAACGGCAAGACGGACATAGAACCAGATTAAGATCGGTGCCGTTAGTAATGGAACTCTGCGCTGGCTGCTGGAGATGAGGACAGAGCGCGCATGTGATGTCAATTCCTAACTCAACTCAGGTCCACTCAAATATGTATATACAGCTAGAACAGGCGGGGAAATATGTTTTAATCAATGGAAGTCAGTCTGTATTCGCAAAGACGGCTCTGTATTAATTAATTTAATGGTTTGTGTGAATCATTCTTTTTCCTAACATGCTTCTGTCGTACATATTAGCATCAGGAGACATCAGAAAGAAACGAAATCTTCATTTTTTGAGAGCCGTATTATAAAAAAAGAAGCAAGCTGGAGCCACGTAATAATCACTGAAGTATTTGTCGAATGAGAGACAGAAACAGATTCTATGCGGCTTCTTGTTATGGCATAGTGGGAAGTCAACACATGAACTGATTCATACCGTTAGAGACGCAGTTTGTCTAAAGACATGATAGCTCACGCCAAGGCGATGATGATGATGATAAACCAGTATCTTTTGCAACTTGACACTTTATACCGGGCATTTGATCGTTGCTGTTATTGTTAATAGGCAACACAATCACACACAAACACACAAACACACAACTCTCATTTCTGCGGAATCGTAACTGTCGTTGTTGACCATGTGAATAGTATCAGCCTTTCAGTTTTTAATAAAATAAAAGCAAATTAATTGTTGTTTGTTTGATCTTTGATTTGATATGGTAACTGTGACACATTCGCAGGTAAAACAACATGTGCGATGATAGTTAACATTTGTATCCCTTTCTTTCTTTCTCTTCCGTTTTTTCGCTTGACCATGTTCAACCTGCTGTCAGCTAGCAGATTTCTGCATTTGTCCTACAGCTTGTGCCAGTGTTTCACAAAAATGGGCGCTATCGCCCCAAGGGGTGCTGACACGGTCCAAGAGTTTTAGCGGCATCGATCACATTTTGGATAGAGGCGGGGGTGCATTAGTAACCGCAGGAGCAGCTGGGATGTATTGGGTAGAAATTTGACAGCTGAAGAGAGAGAGAGAGAGAGAGAGAGAGAGAGAGAGAGAGAGAGAGAGAGAGTGTGTGTGTGTGTGTGAGAGAGAGAGAGAGAGAGAGAGAGAGAGAGAGCGAACGAACGGTCAAACTTTATTTTTAAAGGGTTACAAATTAGGCACGCAGGCCGTCTGACATTCGGCTCTTCTAAGCACTCATCTTTCTGAGTACCAATGCCTGTTTTCAATATTGGATGCTATATTTATAATTTTGAAAAATACATTATAGAATAATGCATACTGACATCTTGTATACACAATCATACACACTCAAACACACACATACATACACATACTCTTACATTCTCATTCATTCACATACATACTAATGTACAGACATACGTAACACATACATGCACAGACTTACATACAAATACACACACATACATACATTTTTAGTGTGTTGGCATGACTTTTGAAACGCACTGTACAAAAGTTAAATTAACACACAGTTAAGTCAGTTGTGTATCCTTGGTATAAATAAACAGAGTGGGAACCCTTGAAGCAAGCATACTTCTCGTCCTTTTCAGGACGACATTTTTCGTTATTTGAAGTCCTACTCTGGCTTTTGCCAGTGGCCGCAATATAGCCTGGCCATAAATATAGCCTAAAGGCTGAACGTGGTTTCTAGGACCTCTCCACGGGTGATCCTCACCCACGTGGTGGCACATTGCGTCATCGGGTGTTTATCGCTTGTGTGATGTCCTGGTGGGGTAGAAAGTCAGTCAGTCAGATTCCTAAAGCCGTAAAAATATTATCTATATAATTAACAAAGAGACAATGTATTGATTGACACTCACAAAAAGAGGGAGGCCACACGCCATTTGGAGGTTAATCTCCCTCGCGACACGGTAACTTTAGCTTTCAATTTCTACTTTGCCTAACGTGTCTTTATGTCTTTCTACTTCTTTCTATGAGTGCCGATCAATATATTGTCCCTCTGATTGTTATGTGTGTAATGTATCCATTGCAGGACGTTGCAGAACCAACCACAGCATGATATAAAACAAAACCCCGTCAAAAAATCTGGGCTGTTCGTGACTTTACTAGACAATTTTATGCCCAGTAGTTTGCCCATTGAACGGTCGGCACTAAAGTCGTAGAGGCAGACGACATTACCATTCAATGGTGCATCAAATGAAATGCTTTCAACCAAAATACGTCCTTACACGCATAGTACTATAGGTTACGCCTGGCTGCCGTAGTCATTACAGGTGTCCTAATTATATCTTGTTTGAAGGTTGAACGGTGTATTTTCCATGTGTGAGTTCCGCGGCTCCATTGTGTCGGGCCTCCCCCACAAGCAAGTCGTAGGAGTCGACTAATTAGTGCTTTCCTTCAAAGTCGGAGTGCCAGATAGACAAAGAGCCAATATTCTGCTTTCTAGTAAGCCAGATCTTAATGTGGGTTAAGGGTCCTGTTTTCAGGATCACAAAAAATAGATCCACTGCCTACCCAACAAGCATGTCGTAAGAGTCAGGTAATTGGGAGCTTCCTTCAAAATCGGGGTGCATTGCGTGAGCGACAAGGAGCCAACAGTCAGCATGCAAACTAGTCAGATCTGTAAAACAGACATGCACAGGCAACACTCAGGTTTTGCAATAGGACTACAGTCCAGAAGTGGACGAATAACCAGAACTTTCCACCGGAGTTTACAGATGGTGAACTTACATAAGAGTCTTTGCGTGACTTACTATCTCTCCTCCAGTTGTTGTATTTATCACGTTTATCGCAGTTATTTCTAACCCATGGGCTGTGGGCATTTTTTGTGTGATACTGGGAAAAGGGGTGGTGTACAAAATATCAAATCAAACCAATAAGCCTAATTTATTTAGTAAAAGATTAAATTGCGTTTTCCTTGCTAGAACAAGATTAATCTCCAGTTCCATATTAAAAAATAATAATAACAATAATAATAAAGTCTACCACCTTCAGCCTACTACTGGCAGCCAACCTGCAGAGTAGTGTCAGGTTATATTTGTGGTCTGGCTCCTTTTTTTGCTATATTCATAACTGAATTGCTTGCCACCCTACGAAGTAGCTCCGCGAAAAACTCTTGTTGTGTTGATGCCAACACTCCTTCCTTCTTAACCACTAACTGGCCACCGACCGGTCGCCATTGGGGCTGCAAGACCAAACGATTTCTCGAGACTAATACGACTCGAAGGCTGGAGATTTTTCGCCGTTCTCCCAGAAATCCTCAATGCCACTTGCCAAGAATCGTCTCTCAGCTGAACACTCCTCGCCGTTTCCCGCTCACCGTTGAAACTGACGCTTATGACAAATCGGATGGAGAACACAACTCATGTAGATCCAGCATTGATTAGTTTCAGTCAATATCGCCAGTTAGAGTTAGTTACATCAACAAATCGACTGACATAGCTGTATCACTTTCTTGGCTTGCTTTGCAGGGACAGGAAGGGGGGGGGGGGGAATTCGCTTCGTCTCATTCAGTCAGCATCCCCCAAGGCAGAGCTTCAAGTTATAATTGTGACTAGGTTATTTGCGCCTTATAAAATAGCATAGAATTGTTCGCCACCAAGTGGCCCTGAAAAAAAGAACTCTTGCAGTCTGTTGATGCGATCAAAGGAGACAGACCAAAACATTGTCCTGATCGGCGACGAAGTCGTCTACTGGCCAGCCAATGGGCGACTCGGTCGCTGATGTATTCCTTTCTTTGTTTCCGTTTGTTTTTGTACCATGGGCCGGCGACCTTTGACCGGCGGATGTAATGAGAAACTAACAGGGTCGTATACTAACCCTCTGACGTCACTTTTCCTTGATACAGGAATAACTGGCTTTCCGTTTCCGTCTTTGATCCTTAGCAAAAGTGGTTCCTTCTTAGGCTTGTCGGCCCTTGTAATATAAACTTTCACTGGGCCTAGAAGAGCCGAGAAGACGCAGTAACAGCAACCTCCCGTACAAGGTAGAGAAATCTTCATTGCCACTTTTGTTGGATCTTCTTCTAAGCTGAATCTTCGTCGCCTATGCCTGCTGACCGTTGAAACTGGTGCTTGGGTAGTACTGAGTCTAGCAGTGATCGGTCTTAATTTGTTTTGTGGGTTAGCCATTACAGATTCTGAAGATAGAGGAAATGACAGTTGACTGCTGTAGGACTGTTTATGAGAACTGCTCTGACGCTTATCCTCGAAGCTCGGCAGGTGGTCAAATATGAGATCACTGTCAATGACTGACAGCTGCTGAAGTGATGTTGACCTCTGCTTAGCTATATGGTTAAACAAAAAGTCGGTTGTTGACTTGGTGTTAAAATGACCTCTAGATCTCGACAGCGTTTCCAGATGGTGCGGGGTCGAAACGTCATAGCGACCATTATCAGGTTCGATCTTTGTTGGTGAGCGTGATGCTCCCCATCTGTTGGCATAAGCTGTTGTCTGAAGTCGATAAGAGGTGGCACGAAGGTTTTGGTTCAGGTTTGTGTCTGTCATTTCTGTTAAGCACAATGAGTCCGGTCTGTTTCTTAAATGTATGTGCAATGAAAGTTGTAATCAGCTTTAGTATGTGGCGAGTCACGATTATAAAACTGAGAACTGACTGAATCAACATGAAAAAAAAAAATACTCAATATCAAAGTCACTTTTAAGTTGTATATTATAAGTAAAAATTTTGCACTGGTGAAACTACAGTACAAGCTTGTTGATGTACATGTCAGAAACACTTTTTTGCCAAGTAGTTTGTTTGCCAACATATCTTCGTCACGGCATGTCGAACATTCAGACGTGTACTTGATTCGCAGCTTCCGGATTTAAACGATCTGTCACCTGGGAAATAAAGAAAAGAAACCATACACAGTGTGTCCTATAGATGTCCATAGTAAAGGTAAAAGAAACGACCTTTATTCACGCCTTTAGTCGTATATGGCATATAGGGCTAGACCTATATTTTATAGACCAATCAGCACACGATGGGTGATGTGGTCAGCACAACACGGCCGCCTTTGCTTTCCGGGACGACACCCAATACCCACTCAAGGCTGGGTCGACCTGGAAGTCAAAATTATTTTTGAAAACGTCCAGCACCGCCAGGGACCGAACCCACGACCTTCCGATCCGCAGGCGAGCGTCTAGCCGCTCCGCCACGCTCCCTATATAGGTCAATAGATGGGGGAGAAGGGGGGGGGGGATCACCAACGCCATTATAAGCATAACTCTAACAGTGGAGGAGACACATCAATATGAGTTTCGAAAACAATGTTAGTCATGTAAAGCTTGTTATATTAGAAAAAAAGGGTTTTCATAACACAAAAGGTTTTTTTTTTTTTTTTCCTTTTGTGTGGCAAACGTATCGGGCATTCAAAAATTGCTAATACTTAAACATATATACAGGTTGTCTGAGACGTAACTAACCAGATTCGTTTTGTTGACGAGTGCAATTTTTACTGAGATGCATGGAAGTCGTGCTGTGTGCGACGCTGTCGGTCGGCAGCTAGCCTTTACCTTTGCCTTCAACTCTTCCTCTCCTAAACAACTCACTGTGCGTGACTAGGTATTATTCCGGTGAACCAGTCAACGTGTTTTTTCTATGTGTGTGTTTTCATTTTACGTTTAGTCAGTGACTCTGAAGAACTGAAGAACTCTGAAAACATTTGTTTCTTGCAAGCGTTGTATATTTGGCCCCTATGGGAGTAGTATACCCATGGATTTAATATTGCCATTTCTAGCTCCCTTGTACATGAACGAGAACCTTGTGAGACTGAACGAGTTAAAGTGATAAGGCTATCGTAACAGCTCTGATGGTCCCTATGTGCTTGCTTGTTGGCCATGAGGTCTTGTTTTCGAACCCAGATCGAGCCGTGTGTCTTAAAAAAATAAAAAACACGGGTTCCTAAGTCGACCTAGCCTAAATTGAGTACTAATAGATCTCGTGGATAGTAAATGCGGCTGGTCTGTTGTTGCATCACCCATATTATGAACATTGTTTTATAGAATTAGGTTTAGCACCATATGCGTCAATGACATGAACCAGGTACTTTACTTACTACTTACACTTCGAGAAAAGTTGGCATAAATAATTACCAGACTGACAGATTTAGTGCCAGAAATATCATATAGTATAGCACTGGCATTTATTTAATGTCTTTAACAAACTGTCAGACGTCTGGTAGTCAAAGACTTTCAGCAAACATACAAAACTTTAGATCCTCAACTCTTGTGTGATTCCAGTACTAACTTATTGATGCGAGAGCTGGAAGGCAACGGTAGCTCTAGATAACAAAGAAACAAATAACGATTTCGAGAACAAATATCTTTGAAGTATACTACCTCTGTACTGGGCAGATTTCAGGTCCAGTACGCAAATAATACAAGAGACCAATCAAGATAATGTATCCAATTTTATAAGAAAGCGCTGCTGTAACTACATCGACCATGCACTCAGAATGGATAATACCACACACCTCCACCAAGCCCCCATTTGGACAACGGAGGGGGAAAAGAAAGCGGAGAAGACCAAGAGAGACCTTGCGTAGAACCATCATCAGAGAAGGCTCAGCCATGGGCCTAATGAACATCCAAGACCTAACAAGGATGGCAATCAACCGCCAGACATGGAAAGCTATAACCTCTGCCCTAGGCTCAACTAAGACTGCCAGAAATAATGTCTGGCCATTATGCCAGCACTACTTCCAAGTATTCAAGTTCCTTTCAATATTATTGCATAGACCTGACCTCCCGATCGTTGCAGTTGTATGGTGCGTTCCAAAAGTCGTTGACCCAAACCTTAACAGATGTCTCGAAAAACTCTTGCACGGATCAACATGTATTTTTGCACGTGGTGTTAGGTTACCCATGTCCTTCTGATTATATCATTTACAAATGCAATTTCTTTGATCTTTGTCGCCCTAATAATGTGTGTACCTCTTTAAAAAGATGAAATTTATAGAAATTGTCGCAAATCGCACACTTCGCCGTTCAAAATAAATGCGCCTTAGTTTTTTGCACGAGTTACATCTAAAACGCATACTCTTTGATGTTTTACAAATTTCACCTCACTCTGTTAACAGTAAACACGCAAACTGTGTGCTTTGAATCGGCACCTGTTTTTTTTTCTTCATATACCGCAAATAAGGCGCGCGCGCACACACACACGCCCTAACAAATAAGTGATTGTTTATGTTATAATTATTTTCCTACAGTGACATGATTATTAAAGGTTGCCTGCCAAATTTCAACAATTTACGCCAAACGATTATTAAGTTACAGATTTTTCTAAGTCGGCCATGACTTTTGGAACACACTATAACGTCGAGTACAACAGCTTTTCCACTGAGATATCGTAGAATGGATAGTCACTATTGGAATGATAACAACACACTGGAAACAAAACAATTTCAAACAGAATGTTGATATCAGCATTTGTCGCTTGAGACCAGGACAAGAGATTAGAAAAGAAGCTCTGTATCACATAAAAGATAGCACTCTTGCCTCAATGGAAAGTGGCGATAACAAGTGTCTAAGTCTGAAGGCTTCAGAATTGTTTCGATTTTTATTAGCTTTTGTTAATTTCGCTTTTGTTTGTTTATTGGTTTGTCTGGGACAGTTTATGCTTTAGATTTTTATATATTTGTCGTCTTTGTTTCGTTTTTTTTCCTTCTTCAAATACACCTCACTAGCCATTACCGGGTAAGAAGATCAGAGGGTGACCAACATTGTCTCGTAACAATAAAAAAGTTTCAAACTCAGAAGAACAACTGAAACAATTATTAAATTTGCGCCCTCGGGTACACAGGTCATTAAATAATATGATAGAGTTACTAATGCAGAGCACTTGAGGAAAGCAAAAAAAAAAATGCACACACACACACACGCACACACACACACACACACACACACACACACTTGATCAACAAACCCCTTCTACAGTCAAGACCGTTGTGCGTGACCGAAGAGGCACAAGACCCAACTCAGGACTGGGGACACAACTAGCTATTCCCACTTTGAAAACTAAGCAAAGATCACTCCAAACTCAGCAGTTTAAGGATTATCACACCCACCAAAATACTTTTGCCAAGGGGCTAGAGAAGTTTATTGCTGTTAAACTACAAATGTTTTTGGAAAGGTTTAGGTTTAGATAGGTCGAGACGACGGATAAACATCAGGGCACAAGTGTAGTAACCCATAAGTGCTCCTTTCTACTTCTGATTGAAGCCTGAGTCCGAAGAATCTCAGCGCAGTGCACGAACTCCATAGCACCGGCGATGATCCTGATTATGAAAAGGGAAGAGCTCCTGCTAAAAGGTTTGGATAGTTACCTGGCCACATGCAGCTACTTTTCCTTTTGATCTTTATGAGGGGTTCCAGAATAGAAAGGAGACGGTAGTGGCAGCAGTTGATCTGGATGATGTCTACAACAGAGTCAGGTATGGTATCTGCGCTTATGGAGAAGGGGGTATGTCCGTGGATGTGTGAACTGGACAGCAGCTGTCCTGCATTCACGAATGGTTGCCCTTCGTCTGGGTACATTGACCTCAGAAACATGTAATATCTCCCCGAGACGACCCCAGGGTTCTGCAGTTTCACCAGTGCTCTTTAGTGTGTATACAAGCAAGATTGCAGAACTTGAAGCACCAAGTGTTAGAAGGATATTGACATTCGCTGATGGTGTTCTTGCACATAGGCAAGGGAGTGATGGGCAAAAGATAGCCCTAGAACTACAGGCAACTGAAATTACCTATGCTTTTAAGCCTTAATTTTCTTCTACTTCTTCTTCTTCTTCTTCTTCTTCTTCTTCTTCTTCTTCTTCTTCTTCTTCTTCTTCTAATTGTCTTCTTCTTCTTCTTAATTGTCTTCTTCTTCTTCTTTGTCTTATTTTTCTTCTTCTTCTTCTTCTTCTTCTTCTTCTTCTTCTTCTTCTTCTTCTTCTTCTTCTTCTTCTTCGTCGTTGTCTTCTTCTTCTTTTTTCTTATTTTTCTTCTTCTTCTCCGTCTTCTTCTTCTTCCTTGTCTTCTTCTTCTTCTTTTTTCTTCCTCTTCTTCTTCTTCTTCTTCTTCTTCTTCTTCTTCTTCTTCTTCTTCTTCTTCTTCTTCTTCTTCTCCTTCTTCTTCTTCATCTACTTCTTATTGTCCACCAGCTGTAAACTCCGGTGAAACGTTCTATGTGTTCGTCCACCTCGGGATAGTAGTCTTTTTCCAGAATCTGAATGCTGCGTACACATCCGTTTCACACATCTGGCTTATTTATATACAAACTTGGTTCCTCGCCTCTCATGCAAATGTACTCCGACTTCAAAGAATGGCCCTAATGAGTGGACTCCTACGACATGTTTGTTGGGGAGGCAGTGGATATATTATTATTTTCCCACAATGGGGCCCTGGAACCCCCGCGGAAAGTAACTGTCCCAAATGGATGCAGGAAATATCTTGGAAAGTACATGGCAGGCGATATCATGTCGATTCCCTCACAGACAGAACCCTGATTGATCTTTCAAAAAT